AAGCGGGAGAGGGAGGAGGGGGGGGGATCGGAGGGCCTGGAGAAAGGCGAGGGAATGGCCGTGATGGGATTGGAAGGGGGGAAGGCGCCAGTTTCTTACGGACTCACGGGCGAGAGGGACAGTAAATCCGTGCCGTTGGTCGGGGTCGAGGAGGATGAAGGGGTCCGGGAAAGCGACGAGGTGAGGGTCCTTTGATGGTGGTCCCGGGGCCTAGCCCATCTCATGCGCCGCAAGGGGGTGATGAGGAGGGAGGGTCGTGGACCCTACTCACTAAAGCGCGTCGTAAAGCGTCAGGACTGCGAGTTGATGGTGTAAACAGCTTGTACGATAGCTAAGATCGGACGAATGTAGGGATTGTGGTGGGGATGGGCCTGTTGGCGTGTCGTACGTCATAAACGGATCCAACTGTTCATCTCTCTGATGTACATTCCTGCACGAGACCTGGGGTAAAATTACGCAAGATACTGGACGGTGTGACACAAATGTAATTATTTGCATAAGTGACGGGTAAAGCATGAAACTGGGTAGTCTTAGCCTTCGTCCTCCCGGAGCAATAATACCGGGGCCTGCGAGCTTAGCTGAGAAATAAAGCAAGAACATGGAACGGCATGCCACTTACTTGTTTCTTGGATCCAATACTTTGCCCTGGTACTCATAGTAGTACTATGAAAGGAATACACAGTGGCTTGAGATGTATCAAAGCCTAACCCAGCTTGTTTTCGGATGCTGCTTTGGGACTGCGTAGAAAGAGGACGACATGGGGGACAGGACCTAGGCAGTTTTCCTTTCCAGATCCACATCTCATCGGTGCAAGCAAAAAGAAGTTGATAGAAAACACAGGCTTTCGACGGAATATACTACCTCTTTTCGCTATTGCGACATGAAAGGGCCGAACACGTAGACGCAAAATTCAGCAACCTCCCCCCCCCGGTATCTTCGTCGGCCCATAAGACTTCAAGAGCCGTCCGCTTCCCTCCGATCTTCTCCCCCAGGTTTCCATTCCTTATTGATTTTCGTGGTATGTCAGAAACACTTTTTTACGTACACATACATTTCAGATTAAAATAGGACTCGCTCTACTAATGGGTTCCGCTCAATCGAACGCCCGCGCTGCGGAAAAGAGGGCTTACGGTGCAGAATTCGTGAGTGCTCTTACCGTCCCTCCCTTGTCCTTCCATTTTCTTATGGAGTTTTTTTAATGGCAAGCCACTTGATTCGCCCATTCGAGATTCAAAATTCATCTATAATATTGGACAACAGAAAGAGCGCAGGGCAGCCCGCCAAGAAAACAAACTCAAGCTCGAAACCAAGTACGTGTCAGCGTGCCCCTTGCTGCATCCTCGTATCACATATTACCCCTCTTACTCTGCTGACCGATCAAAGTATTCCGCATCTTTTACGATAGATGGAAAGCAAGTATGGCAGGCAATCCAATTACGGCCATCTCTCCACTAAAGCCCAAGATGGAAGCAAAACCTGAACCTGTTCCTCCTGCTCCGCTGCAAACCAATAGACAGCGAGTGAAAGAGCTTTTGTCTAGAAACCAGAAATAGATTGAAATCAATAATTGCGTATCATTGTTATAAAGAGCGAAATACTGCTAGGAAAAGAAAAAATGCCTTGGGCGAAACCGCGTCCGGCCCAGGATCCTCTTAAGGTCCATATGGGCTAACAGCAGTCTCTCTCTATGGCTGACTCGCGAATTTGAATCCATCTTTTGAGCCTTTGGTGCAACGTGACAGACATGTAACGACTAGACACGCAAATAAATGCATCCACATCACGTTACTTTTCCTCTTTGCGCACCCTCTCAAACCATACGCGGGTAGATGCATGCCCTTCCTCCTTCTCAACCCCGAATCCCTCGTATCTCTGTATTTGCGGGAATTCCATTTATCTATTGAATTTTTTATCCGACGTGCTACCCTTGGTATAACCGCGGATAGAAAAATGACTTCTTTCGGGGGTACTTCCGCATCCTCCACTCCACATTTTCCCTCTGCCCATCTCGCGTCAGTCATCCTCACACCCCAATCCACCCACTCGGACGCTACGGCGTTAAAATTGCGTGTCTATGAGCAATATGTCTTCCTTTTCATTCAAATATTTCCCCCTTTCTTCCCTCTGCCGCACACGACGACGACAAAGGGAAGAGGATCCGCTTGCCCAGCCCACACTCCCATCCCTACGGGCCCGCTCGCACCAGCACCCCGCGTCCCGCTCCCGTCTCCGCCCCGCTTCCTTTCCTCTCTTTCCAGCCTAGGAGGTGAGGTCTCCCTTCTCTACCAGGGCAATATCCGCCTCAACCATCTCCTTGACCAGGTCGTCGAACGAGACTTCTGGCTCCCACCTAGACAGACAGAGCGGTACGGAATCGGCCAAGAGGGTTACGAATGCAGCAGAGGAGGACAGATGACAAAGAAGAAGGGGACAACAAGGGAAACGAGAAGGCGGGAAGAAAAGAAACGCGGGCGAATGGACTTACCCTATGTGCTTCTTGGCTTTAGCCGGGTTCCCGAGGAGGAGCTCGACTTCGGTGGGGCGGAAGTACTGGGGATCAATC